TGACTAGCTTGTTAATTACCCTCCTAATCCGAAAGAGGGTATTGCAATGGGCTCCGTCTGGCAGATGACAAAAGCCAAATCTTGTATGTAGTGAAAAATATTTGTCTATACGTTGTGTCTAGAGTAGAGGTGCGTATGCTATCTCGGCAATATTAATTAAGAAGGTTAAAGATGACGACAGTTAGGAAAACTCGGCTAGGCTAACCATTACAGAGATAGCGTAGTACCCTGGTAGGCAAAAAACCCTCGAGCTAGGTATAGGAAAAATGCATGGGAAATCAGAAGATACTACTCGTTTCGTTATTTTTGTTGTGCCAAAAATACGAAGCTACATAAATGAAATTCACATTATGTCACATCATAGTTATATATATTAGGAATCGACGAAAAAAAAATACAAATTTACGAAATTATACATTTAAAACATTTTTATTCAATTTTTTACAGTAATATTCGTCTTATCTCTTTGGATGTTGCAATGATGATGGATGATTTAAATAGCTAGCTACGATGATGATTGTATTGTGATTCATTGACAGACTCGGCGCGCCGTATTTGCCAGATTCTGCCAGTGCCAAGAAGCATGCCAATGAAAAAAAAACTGAATACCCGCGCGACCGTTCTAGAATCCGTGAGACGAACAATTATCCATTCTTAATAGGTGAAAACTAAGGATCAAACAACATCAAACTGGCGACGATTCGATAGAATATCAAATGTTATTTTGTATAGGAAGGTAAGACATGAAGGCTAATATTGCATGATTAGATTTCTGCACATTTTACCCACAGAGCGATGATTTATTACCCCTACCGGCGTGATACAGCACAGATTAACCATCTACGCGGGACTGCCAGATGGCGCGAATTTTTTGTAACTAGGCTAGGGCCTGTGCTATGGCTAGGCCTAGGAGGTATGTTACAAATCGTGATGTCACATTTTCTAGTTTTGGTTACTCAAATGGTGGGCTTTTGCACTGCTGGATCAGGGTGTTGGGAGATAATTAATAATATACTAAATGAGCAATGTAATTTCCAAAAATTATTGGACAATAACATTTCTGTATCTGCTATATTAAAAGGTCAAAGGGCTTTGACAAAGCCAGGTTACAAATTTGTTTTGTTTTTATCCATCTTTTATTTACAGTGTCGTTGACGTCTGAAATTTACTATACTCGATTAAAATCCACTATTTTAGTAGCAGGAAAGTTGCAAGAGTTCAATTATTGTATCTGCTTCTTAGTTAATTATATGATTGTAATTTTGACCAAGCATGATCGAAGAAATTATATCGATTAAAATTTGCTATAAATTTGCAGTTTTCTTCTGTTTTAATAGTCATACACATATTATTTAGCAGTGGCATATCGAACATACCGCCACACCCTCCCCCATTTGCCGCTCCATTGAAAAAGTTTGAAACAAAAAGAGATCAAGCTCAAGTAGTTAAAAAATCACATACTGTATTACCTTATTTTGTGAGCTAGCGCCCGGCCCTCACTTACAGTAATTATCAAGCACCCCCACTTCACCTTCACACACCCCATCACCCCCACCCCTAGTTCAAACATTTTGGCCTAGAAATCCGTCGACGCATTTCGGAAAATAAGGGCCGATTTCCACACAGATTTTGCTGAAAATTAGGCTTTCACCAAATCTTAATATATTTTACAATACGATTCCATGCACCTATTTTCCTAGCAATTTTCCGTGCAAATTTGAGCTGATTTTTTAGATATTCTCTGCGCAATTAAAAAAATTGAATGAATATGGATACACAAATCATTTTAAAAAATTTGTTTTAAAAGGTCAAAAAGAAAGTAGCACAAAAAAAAAAAAAAATTTTAAAATGTATAACAATTATATACAGTATTTGCAAATCAAACATAAATGATGCCTGGAAAAATAACCTAATTGTTTCTAATCCTAAATTGGGTGGGGGAAGGCGGAACAAAGAAATGGACGAACGACCTGGATTCTAATCTTACCTAATTATGCACACATACCAATGTTATTTTACAATGTAAAATAAAATATCACATCAATTTTATGCTATTAAAATTAACCAAACTTTAAATTAATAAAAAATCTTTTGTTTTGATTTTGTAGATTATTGTTTTAACTATGGACCCTGTCTCAGGAACATTGTCAGCCATTGCTTTTACAACAATTGTAACAGAAACAACCACCGTAGATATTCAAATATGGTTAATCGTAATAGGTTTTATACTTTCATTCACCCTTGCTGTTGGCCTTGGTGCTAATGATGTTGCTAATTCATTTGCTACGACTGTAGGTGCTAAAGTACTTACCTTTTTTCAAGTGTGCATCCTTGCAGCAATTTTTGAAACTGCTGGGGCTGTCTTACTCGGATCTAAAGTTTCAGATACAATCAGGAAGGGTATATTTGATGTCACCCTATACGAAGGACAGGAAGATCTGCTTGCCATTGGTCAGATAGCTGCTCTTAGTGGTAAGATCTTTTGACAAATTCCAGATGACTGGAAGTGGCACTCTCAGACATAAAATTAACTATAATTTTTTCACTCATTTTTAATACAAACATTTTGGCAGGTTTCGTACCCCCACTCCCTCCTTTGAATCCGCCAATGAAATATCTGATTATATTTCAATGTAATTGTTTGGTTATTCTATCAAACATCAACCAGTGTCTGTTTTTGTATACAATACTTATCCTACAGTTATCTTATCTTTACTATTTCAATTACTGTAGGTGCATTTGTCTGGTTATCAATTGCCACTTGGTTAAGTCTACCTGTGTCTGGAACTCATAGCATTGTAGGAGCAATGCTAGGTTTTCACCTTGTTGCTAAAGGCACTTACGGAATCAACTGGAAAAAGTTTGGACTTATTGGTTAGTCAAAATGCTGCTTGTTGTGCAAATGTAAATTCTTACTTTGAAAATACAATAGACAGTATTATAACTATTGCTACACCAGTCTTAAACCAACTTTTAATTTTTATTGGATGTTATTTTCCTAATCCAATCCATTCATACAAAACATCCAATCAGAATTAATAATTGGTTTAATTGTCATCATAATCATCATCATTTTAGAGTGCACTCTTAGTCCATGCAAGCAAGGGTTAGACTGGTGTAAAAATAGCTACTGTCAAAATACAGTAACTCAATGTATTACCAGAAGCTGGACAAGATGCTTCTACTGAGTTTAATCACAAACTAAATACTAGGACAATGTGTACATAATATTGTCTGGAAACAAATTTGTACTTCAACAACAACACAAGATAACATATTAGATACAAAGTAATTGAAACTCTATTGGAAATTCCAATGACATTACTATAAATGTTATTCTTTCTTTATAGCAGTTAGTTATATTATTAATTATGCTTTCATAGTATACCATATTGGGGCTTCTATTTGCTTTCAAAAAATGTATTCAAAGAGGATATACTAATAATGAATAATAATGAGGATGCTAATTGAAATTATTATTAGGCCCAATAAAAAAAAAAGATTAGTTTATCATCCCCACCCACATGTTCTTCTGTAGTATTGGGAAAAAAAACATTTAGAAAAAAAGTTTAAAAAATTTTTTTTTTTTTTTTTTTTTAGTGAATAAAGTACTGTAGTTAGTATAACACCTGTACTATCTCAATCTTGTATTTTACATTGAAAATCAATGCACCAGCAAACAACACAAGGGTGATATTTGGCTTTAGCAAAATAAAGATCCTCCCTCCCTCCTTCCCTCATCATTTTCTATCCTAGATAGGATGAGAAACTAATCATTTTTTATCAGGCCTTATTTGTCAAGTTTTAAACATACAGTACTTGTACCACTTATTTTGTATACTGAATAAATATGTACCAATTAAATAGGCCTGAGACACACACACACACAAATTATAAATTGAAAACTGGTTATCAATTCCTTTTGACCTATATTGGCTTGCTTCAGATCTTGAAAGGTCAAACTTTATGAATATGACCTCTCTCAATACATTAATTTTTTTATGTTACTCTCAGTATAATGGTCTCTTGGCCATATTCATCAGTGTCTAATCAAGTGTTGTCTTCTTTTTTTTTTTTCAGTCTCATCTTGGTTCACGTCTCCATTTCTCTCAGGAATTGTTTCAGCAATAATATATTCCCTCTACCGACATTTTGTCCTCAAAAAGGTAAAATGTGTAATTTTATTATATTAGGTTTAAGGTAGAAACATTAACTATGTGTATCAACATCATTCTGTTTGCTTATTTTTTAGGATAATAATATGTTAATTGTTATTTTTCAATTGAGGGTTAATCAGTTGCAGCCAGGCCTAAAAATATTTGCTGTTTTTTTATAGAGCAATAGTAGTGAATCATAAAATATAATTGAGGCAGCGTTAGGCACGTATAACATTTTGCCTATAAAATATTGTATTATGTTATCCGTTTCTTTTCAATTGCAGGTAAATCCTTTGGAACCAGGCCTTAGAGTCCTTCCTGTTTGTTATGGAACAATATTCCTTGTCAACATCTTCTCCATCACATTTGGACCAAGTAGTACGTGAAACCAATTGATCTTGAATCTTCATGAAAAGATATAATGTTGTGATAATATTATTGTTTCTCACAAAATAAACAATTTTGTGTACATTTGTATTGTTTTAGTAATTGGACTGAGCATGTTGCCACATTGGGTACCAGTTGTTGTAAGTCTCGGAGTCAGTCTGGTTATTGCTTTAGTTGTATGGGTTGCTGCTGTTCCCCGTCTAAGAAAAAAGTATATGCGTGAGTTGATTTTTGTTGCCTTTTTCTTTACACCTCAGAGGAGGAGAAAGAGAACATTTCTTTTATCATTTTTTAATTTTTATACTTACTTATATGTTTATTAATTTTTTGTTAAATGATTATATACTTCATATATTATTGTACAGTAGATATACTAAATGAAGAAAGATGAGCAAAAAAAAAAAGACTCAACACTACAGCCTACAGTAATGTAGCCAAGGTAGTCTAGGCTTTGGGCAGTTAGGATTTATGATAAACAAATATTTTAATTTAGTTCTTGGTTTTGTTAGTCTACATTTTTTTAACTGTATATGGATATTTTTCTAAAGTTATCTAAATTTTATTAATACATTGAAGCTAACTGACCAATCAGATATGTTTATTTTGACCAGATGGGACCTTAATTCAGGGTTTGTATATGTCCTTAAATTCCTTGAATGTCCTAGAAAAAAAAATGAGCATTTTCCAGTACTGGAAATTTTGATCATTTACCATTTATCCAATACTGCAAGTTGCCTAGTAACAGTAATTAAATGAGAAACGTTCCCACAAGTTGTTCCTATGATACTTTTCGGAGAAGCAAGTCAAGTCTTTATACACCACCAATTCGGGAGTGTAATCAAAGACAGAAAGAATGTCAACTGCTGAAACTAGCAGACTGGCTGGTTCAGACAAACTAGTGCAATTCAGTGAAAGGAGTTGTTTTTACCTATTAGTAAAGTGGTGTTTTCGTAAGATTGTTTGCATGTACTGTAATTTTAATTCAAACATTGATAATCGTAATCATTAACTTTGTTGATATCTGATATGGTGTTTATATTTGCTTTCTGTTGTGTGTTATAAAGAGTAATATCAAACTTAAACTATCAATCCGTTGATCAGGTCCTGTCGCACATGCTCAGCCCGGTGAATTCACTTTGGGTGATTCATCACTCTCTAGATGTGCACACAAGTTTGTTCTGCACGAATGGGCATGTTTTGGCCCTATCCAGGGCAAGGCAGTTAATTAACAATAAACGTACTGTAACTATTGGAACATGTACTTCTACAGTTATTTTCTTAATAAATGGCATTTTTGTTTAAAGGGCATTTTCAGTGAAAAGTCCTTGATTTTAGAGCATGGTATTTCGTTAATTATGTTTCTAAAGTTTATAAAATCATTGAAAAAACAATGCCGGTCGGCAGCCTGTCAGTGCCGGTAGGATCACGATGTGAGAACCCTGCGGCACTTTAACATTTGCTGTATAGTACTAATAGATTTGATTATAAAACTTTACTTAGGCCTGCAGCATTGTAAATGTCCAAATACAGAGATAAATTTAACAACTAAGGCCTAATAATAATAGACCTAAATGTCAATGGCCCAGTAGTAATGATTAATGTAATAAATAATAATACAGTATAGTAGTATGATGATGTATAGAGCATAACCATTAATTGAATTAATAATACTGTATATTATTAGTTTATACAAGTTTAAACATGTATAGACGCTGCAACGTACACCCATCAAAGAAGGCTATATTGTTTACTGTATATCCATATTATGTCAACTTCGCCACAGTTGAGACAGTTATATTATCATTAGCTGAACAACAACCGAGTTATTATTGTTTGAAGGCACTGACACCTTTAAAAGTGATAAGATAAGACCATTGTTGTACTGCACATTGTGTTGCCAAGAAGAGAAATTCTACTCCAGTTCAACTGTAGGCCATCAGTCCTGCCTTACTTTGCCAACCTGTGCTTTACCGGTACTTCCACATACAGTACTTGTGGAAATTCATTTGCTTACCAACAAATTTTTACATGTGTGAGAAAAACAGAATTTCCCAGGAGCGTGAGAAAAAGAGACAGATCCATCACCTCCAAATTAAAGTTAGATAAAACTTAATATACACTCAACATTAAAAATTAGTACAGCATACAGGTTTTATAATCAATCATAAAATCTGATATTTGACTGTTAAGTGATATAATGTGTTCCTAAAATTTGAAAGATTTGATCTGGAATGTCCTGAAATTGTCATGGAAATTTGCTTGTTAAAAAAATGTACAAACCCTGTTAATTTATTTACTTTTATTTTCACCATACCAGCCGAATGAAATTAATACTGCAAAACATTGCTGTCAACATGAATCAATTACAGCAATATATTTCTGTGACAATGCAACAGTGAGATTTGTTGCTTACGTAATTAATTTTTTTTTTTTTTTTTATTCGAAGGTGAACTTGTTACTGAATCTCAAAATGTAGAAGTGGTTATGGAGGAAAAGATAAGGCTTTCAGAAGAAATAGTTACAAAACAGCCCCCTGAAGTAGAATGTAGGAACGGTATGTACAAAACTTAATTTTCTTTAAATGTTCTGAACACATTTTTACCCCACCTTAAAGAATTGTGAAGTAAAGTTTGTGCATTTCTTGTTGATTCAGGTTTTTGCTATCATAGTAACTAAAGTTTTGTATTAATCTATTTGCATGAATGCAAAGGAACTTACAAGACAAAACCTAGTAACATTGCTTTGATTAGTATGTCAATTGCTCATATCTGTATTTTGTTGGAATTTAATTTGTATTCGCCATCACAAAATCAATAATTATTGTACCGTAAATGCTCAAATAAGCACTGCAACTGATTTTTTTTGCTTTGAGAAGCAGGATTTTAAATACAATGTATACAGTGTTAAAATGAATAAATAACACTATGATGACACAAGTATTTCTTTATACACTTATTTACGATGACGTAGGACTTATGATAGGCCTGCTAACCTACGGGAATATGTGAGATCGGTGACATGGAAAGCTCCACGCTCTTATTCATGCATTTACAGTACACTATATGTTTTTATTGTAAAGAGAAAATTTCATGTGACAATTCACCCAATCCAAATTAAATTTTGATTAATTTTTATTTGGAATGTTAAAACCTTATCTTAAAGGTTCAAAAGATGGCAAAGATGTTGAAGTTGAAAATGGACAGATCGCCATACCAGGTAAGTAATTTAATATTCAGAAGCAAATATATTTCATTTATTTCGTCCAAAGAACATTGTAGTTGACAAACACAAAATAACAGATAGCAAAAAACAACACTCAGTTGGCCAGACAGGATTGCCAAAAAGTGAACTGAATCACTGTCTAGTGGCTCTCCATTGCCAATGAGAACATAAATACATATTTTAAAATATATATGTACAAAATCATCAATGAAATCAGTCAAATGTATCTGAATTAACACTGAAATAACACTTTCAATCTTATACAAGCACAAAGGTTTGTGCAGTCAATACTGTCAACTTTACTCCAGAAACCTTATTAAATGGGTGCTCTAAATAACTAGCTTTGCTTTGTAAGTTAATAGCCATACTATGAATGATAATATAATAATTCAGTCTTTTGTAAAAAGAAAATGGGTGCACTTTTGTAGCTCCATAAGCTTTTGATTGTAAGACAATATATCTAGGGCTGTGATAAAGTCACTGACATAGTCATTGGCGTAGATGTACATCCATTTGTCTCGTGTGCACTTTAAAGAACCCAGTACATTCTTCGAGAAGAGTAGGGGGTTACCCCGGTGGATTGGTTCATTCAGTCCCCTGCAGATATGCCAATAAGTTCACTTATTGGCATATCCTTGGCGCTCGTGCCAAAAGAAATGAAATGAAATTGTCATCACAATCAAAAGTTTCTTATTAATTGTAGTAGTTCCACCAAATGTACAGTAGGCCCCCTCCAAATACAAAATCAAGGAGACATTACACATACAATGGAAAGAGCCCTCACTCAACATAAAACTCTACCATGTTAACAGTTAACAGTTCTTTTTTTTTTATTCATTCTTGCCTTTATATTTATTTATTTATTCATGAACTCTATCTTTTGGTATGGTTTAACTCACATCTAGTACTATGTGTCACTATACTCTTATAAATAAGATAAGAGTGACCCTGCTGAAACATGTATAATTCATAGAGCCTAGCAATGGCTATGGTAATTAAAACTTGGCCGTTCACGCCTGATATGAGCATCAATTATAGTGTTGTGATGGTTTTTTTTAAAGTTAATAGAAGATAAATAATTCAGTTAAACCATTTCCTGTAATATTACTTTGTATTCCATGTTTGTAGAAGAACCTCTAAATGCAAATGGTTTACAGACCTTGCAAGTGAAAACCAATTCAGAAAGATGTAGCCTGTATCAGAGATTATATACGATACTTCATCCTGCAAAGAAGAAGGCTCTCCCAGAATGGCTAGCCATCCAAGACAAGCCGGTCATCAAAAAACTCTGTGGCCCTCTCCAAATATTGTCTGCTACATTTGCAAGCTTTGCTCATGGTGGTAATGATGTAAGGTAAGATACATTTGGTTATAAATTTAAAATGTACTTCATTCCCTTTTATGAAAAATCTGTATCTCAGAAATGTATCATTTTATACTGTTTTACATTGTTTAAATTTGACAATGTTTCAATTTTATATTTTGATTGTTTTATTTACAGTATGTTGTTTCAAATTAATTATAGTACCATGTACAAAAGCATGGTTGTCAAACATGCTGATGATACTGTTTAGGTGTACATATCTAACATTACCTTATTATTGAATCATGCTGTACACAATATTTCTTCTGTACTTGTAGTACAACCAAGGCGAAACTAAAATGCGCATTGTTCAGCACACACACACAGTTGTTACACTTTGAACAAACTGCGCTATGCTTCTCTCTGTTTCTATTATTTGTTTAACCTTTTTCTAGATTTAAAAATTAATAATTACTGTGCTGTAAATTGAATAACCTTTGCCTGTGTTTTGTTTCAGCAATGCTGTTTCCCCTTTTGTTGCATTGTGGCTGCTCCACAAAACAGGAGAGGTATCCGGTACTACAAGCACACCCTTTTGGATTCTGTTTTATGGGGGCTGTGGAATCAGTGTTGGATTATGGTTATTTGGTAGACGAGTCCTTGAAACGATGGGTGAAAACCTCATGCCCATGACATCCTCCAGGTAAGTCTAGTAATGTTGTGATGACGACACACAATGGAACCTAGATTTTATGTACAATACAGGACCAAAAGTTGTACATAAATATGTTAGGATTGTAAAATTGCTTTCAGTTGTAATTATGCATTCTGGATATATATATTGATGATGTCAAGTACTGTGCTCAAAATAATATTACAAATAAGCAAAGATGAGTTTTAAAATGTTTTCAAACATCCATTAATCTCAATGATAACTGTATAATACAATTAAGTTTGATTATAAATTGTGTATGTCTGTCCATTAAGACTACTTGTGAAATTCTGTCTATATTGTAAAGCTTACACAGTATTGTGCAGAATGGAAAGCAGTTATTACAAAACAGTGTAACAGTAATTAGGCTTATAAATGATGATGATGATGATAAAAACTTAGTTTTTTTGGGTTTTTTTTCAATATATTTTAAACTAAGTTTTCATTTCTCAATATTTTATATATAATACTAATCGCATTAATTCATTTTTTTTCTAGTGGGTTCACAATTGAACTTGGAGCTGCTATGACTGTTCTCACAGCTTCTAATCTCGGAATCCCAGTATCAACCACACATTGCAAAGTAGGATCCATTATTGCCATAGGTTTGGTCCAATCTAGAAAACAAGTGGATTGGAATCTTTTTCGTAATATAATTTTTGCTTGGATTGTGACACTGCCAGTAACAGCATCTGTTAGTGCCTTTATTATGTACTTATTACAATTTACATTGTAAAACTGATTATATTGCAGCTTTATTGTTTCTCTAAAGCTAAGCTTATGTCGCCCTTGCTGCTCCACTCACCTCAACTGAGCTTTGGCGACTTTCCCTAAACTGGCAAGCAACTGTGAGCAACTGCAAGTTGCACAATTTCAGGACATGTGAGCGCTCCGAACGCCAGTCGCTTTCAGTTGCCCATGTTTTATTTTTCTAGTATGCAAAGCAACAAACAAGCAAATGAATGGTCAACTACTCTATTAACTGTGTGCGTGCCTTGTGCGCTAAAATTGTACCAAATTTTGCTAGCGTAATTGTAATTAGCAGTCGGAAGCGACACAAGCAGTCTGGGCAGTTAGTTCTACTTAGTTGCTTAAAGGTCAACTCAGACAGCGTCGTACGACGCAGCTCGACGCGATTCATCGTCGGGGACAGTCTTAAGCCGTAATATTAAACATGTTTAATATTCAATGACGCGACTGCCCCCGACGCAAACCATCGTGTCTGCGTTTAACTCAAGCAGACCCGACGCAAAAACAAATCGCGTCGAGCTGCATCGTACAACGCTGTCTGAGTTGTCCTTTAGCAGTTGCTTGTAACTGCAATTGTGAGTGGAAGTCGACATTAGCGCTTCTGGCAAATAGTTGATGTCAGTTGATGTGAGTTACGGCGAGTCGCATGAGCGAAATAAGCTTAGCTTAACTATTTTAATTTACATGATAATTGAAAACCATTATAAAATTGTTTGCGAATGAGGTTGACACAGGCCTCAGCAATTTTAATGAATGCTGTATATGAGGAAAAATCTGTGAAGGTACAACATTTAATTAAGTTTTCTTCTTTCTTTTTAGTTGAACTTGCCTAAGTCGAATCCAAATTCTCATTTAAAAATTGTTTGACTTTGATAAAATCGACTTACAGATTGTTAATTAATGGAAACACAACAATCTGGCGTGTAAAATATGTTCAACTATGAAATTATTCGAGTTAGGCAAAGACGACTTAGGCAAGTTTAAAGCCCCATTCCCGGCAAAATTTCAATTTTTAAGAAAAATCTAATTTTTGTATAATGTTATAAAGATTTATAAACATAATACGGAATTGCTAGTTTAACTGAATTTAGACATTCCTAAGAATGAAAAAAATGTAAAATAAGACTGAAATTTGATTTTTTGTGTTCCACACAAAAAATAAATGCGGACGAATTTTTCATGTTGATTTTGCGATAGGTCGTGAGAAGAAATATCGTAGGCGCCGAAAACATTAGCCTATCCAACGCCTGTCTCTTATACACATCTAGATGTGTATAAGAGACAGAATGCTGTATATGAGGAAAAATCTGTGAAGGTACAACATTTAATTAAGTTTTCTTCTTTCTTTTTAGTTGAACTTGCCTAAGTCGAATCCAAATTCTCATTTAAAAATTGTTTGACTTTGATAAAATCGACTTACAGATTGTTAATTAATGGAAACACAACAATCTGGCGTGTAAAATATGTTCAACTATGAAATTATTCGAGTTAGGCAAAGACGACTTAGGCAAGTTTAACCCTGTTCAGTAGATATTAACTGTCCTCCCATATGGCCCAGTTATGCTTTAATTGTGAGACTTAGTGAGTGGAGTTGTTTTTGTTGTGAGGAAAAAAACCCCTGCTATCAGAGGAATTGAACACGACCCTGGGATTGGAAGACAAGCATATTAACCACCGAGCTATTCAACTCCACTACCCACTCCCACAAAGAGGAGAAATCAAATAAGGATATGACTTTTCCATACAGGGTATGTTATTAGTAAAACTAAATAGTGACAGTAGATGACATATTCATACTGTTTGTTCAGTAACTGTTTTCATAGAAAACATTTAACAATTTGTATCAAGTTGTTAACTGTAAGTTGTTTGAAGTTGTTCTAGTATCCTCCGCCATAGTTAACATTCCATAAGTACTACAATAGTAGACAGTGTGCTGTTATTAAATTAGTTGATATTTAACCTACTTCTGAAATTCTGAAATAATGTTGTGCAAGCCATGTGATAATGGTTATATTATGTTAATCAATTTATTTATGTTACATACAGTACACTATCGGAGCTTTGGCACATGTGGTAGTGTATCCATATGCTCTGTTTACACTTGCAGATTTTGTGTAATTTGCCCATATTTGGGTATGATAATATCAGATTATATTCATACTGCATATGGCCAAATCACAGGTTCACATAGTATGGAAAGAGCTTAAACACAAAAAAGTGTGCAGCGCAAGGTGTAAACAAACTACCAAAAATCTTTAGTAGCGTATGTCCACCTCATGTTTAGTGCAAAATTCATTGAATATGTCATGTAAATCATTCCTCTTATGGATAATATTGGTGGAAAGCCAGTACAGTAATACTAAAATTTGAGACACATTCACATCCAGTCCTCTCACCATGACTAACATAAGTGGTAAAATTTTAGAAAAAGTGTGGTGTACAAATTTAAAGGGTGGATGCTAAGCCTTGTCAAAATTTAACATGGATTTTTTTTTTTACATACAAAGGTGTGACGTAGTGGCAATTAACACGTCACTTACGTTTTTTGATTTAATTGATGGGGTTCAATGAATATTATTTAATGGATTTATTGTTCTGTTTTCAGTATTTCTTTGGGAAACTATTTATCTTTGTTTTTCTTAATTTCATATACAGTATAATATAAAATTCTTGGTATGCATTGCATATCTAAGACCATGGACCTATTAATAAGGTTATTAATAGGTCCATGCTAAGACATTCATCAACAAAAGTATATAGACATTTTTATAACAAAAAGAAACTGTATCAACTCTCTTTGAATGTAAAGGCTGTGTACTATTAATATTATCTTTTTGCTACTTGGGATATGCTAAGTACTATGATAGATCTCGATTTTAAGCCTAGTGAATAAAGACTTAGAACAAGTAATTATTATCAAAGAACATGGCCAGATTTGCATTCAATATAATTGATTATCGAAGGTAGTTTTCAGTTCTAAGAAGGTTGATTTTATGATCATTGAATAAAATTTTAATTTGTATTATTCAAGTGAGCAAATAAGCGCCCAGCCATTTACATCATTTTTTCAAGCTCTTTGATGGCCGCTGATTCAAATGGGGAAACTGTGGAAAATTGAAAATGTTAAGGGGTTGTACGACCGTTGGCCGTCGACTCCACTCGTTGTGACCACTAGACGACACGGTTCCTTCTGCTGATTGTCGGTGGCAGTCTGAACAGATCGTCATCATAAACGTTCTGTTGCGCCTGTGTCATTGCGTTCTCCATAGAATCGCGACGGGCGACGACCGCCAGGCACAGTGAATGCCCAAATTTAGTTGTGTCAAGTGTGACTGCACCATTTGTCAAAAATATAAAGGTACTAGCCATTATTTTACTTTTTTTTTTCTTCGGCCTAAGCGTGGCTGGCTTCGAGGATAAAAATGTTTTTCTATAAGTTTTAAAAACAATATTAAATTTCTCATTATTTCTCTACTAAATCAAAGGTAAATTACATGATTTTTTAGGAGTTTGTACATACAGTATTTTGGTATGTATTTTAAATAAGAAATGTTTTTCTTGCGCCCTGTCCAGGCTATCAAATAGTATTTGACAAGGACATGTGACATGCCTAAGTATGGCCATGATGACATCACATCATGACCATATATAGGCACTTCATGGTTAAATATGGGCGTACAAAAGTGTTTTATCAAAGAAAATTTGATATATGGACAGAATTTTCACTTGCTGCTGTGAATGTTTGCTGTGTTAACAGTTGTGGGCAGAGTAAGTCAATTCACAGTATTATAAATGATCTAATAACTAAAATATATACATATATGTATGTATAATTTTGAGGTGAGCTCAAGAAAATATTTTTCTTGGGTGAGTGCTTATTTGCAGGTACAATACTCCGTGTTCCATGATGCATTAATTTTTTTTTTTTTCACTTTGTTTGTTTTATATGATATGCAGTATGGAGAGTGCTATTGATACTCCCAAGGACAACCTCAGGACTTCGTTATTTTTTCATGTTGTAATGTTACCAGGATTTTTTCAGCATAAATAGTGTGTCGAAAAACATTCAGTATGGCTTTAATTTATTGTGTATATTTGTTATTCAGATTATGCTTATGAATATTCATTACCGGTATGTTTTCATTCAGCACTTATAAATATTGAAAAACAAACTTAATAAACACACAATATACAATGTTTCATTAAAATGTAGCCGGCCAAATCAAGCTCATTCAGTGGCGGATCCAGGAATTTGAAATGGAGGGGGCCCCAGAGAGGAGCTTTCACAGATGATCTATACTACCTCAGCCCTACCATGGTTGGGGCTGAGGTAGATAAGAAAATTTATGATTATGGCACCTCTAGATTGCACTCAAAATTTAAGTAGAATTTTCATTTTTTTCTCATTTTTTTTTTTCTGAAAAATTAAGGGAACTTCCCCCTCCCCTTGAATCCGCCACTGTCATTTATGAGAATTGTAAATTGAACGAGTTCAAATTACTTGAATACATTTTCGTTAAACTTTCTGAATGAAAGTTATAACATCAATAAATATCTTCTCGATCTACGTCGCAGTTGGCTACATATTTATTAAAATTACCTTGACAGACCTCTTATCTCAAGGAATATTTGTGCAGCTACAAATACTGTAAAATCTAAAAACCTACAATCAATCTAAATAAGAGTAACCATAAACAACAAAGCATCGAAACTTACGACACCTACCTTTAAAGGGCAATTTCACGGGTAAAACAGCTTTCAAATCGGTGACAATTACTATCGAAAAGGCATTTCATGAAGATTAAAAACCGCCACTAGACTACCAAAGGCCCCTATACAGCTGTACTGTACCTTCAAATATTGTCGACCAAATGAATCTACTTTAAACAGATTTAATTTGCAATAATAACGAACAATAGGCCTACAGTATGTACATAATTCGTTTTAATAGGTTATTTCCTTTTTTTTTTTTCGCATTTGTATATTTATTTAATCAAATCCTGTGCAGTCTGAATATTTTGTGTGCACTGTACATTTTGTAACAATTCTTAAATATGTATTTCATTTTTTCTTTCTTCCATCAATTTAAATATTCATAATTTAGTTTTGAATTAAATTCTACCTTATAGAAGATTGAAATAAAATTCTACTTTATTTGTTTGGTTTTAAATTTGTATTTCGATTATTCCATCTAGTCCTTTTAGTAGATGTATTATTAATTTTAGGTATGCATTGATTTAAGCATTACCATAAATAAATGAGTTGAAATTCAACTTGTAGCAGCACTGAATGGCTTAAATTAGGGTATTAAAGCTGGGAAAAAAACTTAGATGCGTTGTAATAATCATTACGATTCAGTTGATGTGGAACAGAAAATGATAAAGTAATCAACTTTCTCCATATTCTGCCTCATTACTCCGATCCACTGATTGACAATAAACGACGTCCGCACATAATATAATTCGTACGACTATAAATCCCATGGGTGTCATTCTGTAGCTCTTCTAAAATTAGGCAAAGAAGTAATAAAGCAAGGGAATACATGATGAGAGCAGGTCATTTTATATTTATCTTCAGCAACTTCGGATGGTACATTATATAAAGATGAAGGTAAGTAACTTCAACATAGTTGTTTTACCAATACATCAGTTCATAAACTGTTTATGCTGAAAATCGTCTGGCTCATAATGAAGTGATCTAGTTCATTATGCTTTGATGTGTTTTTTTACAGTTGTAAAACGACAGTTGAAAACATCATACAATCTAAATTACCTTAAACTAAAACAACATGCATTTGTTTTTCTTAAAAATCAGAATACGTTTAAAATACGCATGCAGTTGTAAGCAACACTCCGATGTTTAGTCCAATCTTCAGACCAGGGTACATATAATTTAACACTATGTTTATGATTATCTCACCTTTTGCTCCAGACATACGTTATGGTGCTTTTCATGAAGCTGGTGATTAAAGAAATCTTACTACCACATTCAGCATGTAAGTAAACCAAGTTCGATATAATTTAGGCATAACGATATTTAATGAATATGCGAATTTACTACCAATAATAATAGTAGTAGCAGTAGTAGTAACGATATTTACAAGGACATTGATGATAATAGATCATAAGAAAAAAGTAGCCCACTGTCAACGATGTATATTCATCTCCAATTCATTCAATGTAATGTTTTTTTTTTATTCCATACTGCATAATATTATGTTATAAAACATATAACATAATTGTCATATAATTTATGCTATACTTCATGATTTATTATTGTCTATTTTTCTAACATGTGAAGCATGAAATTGCATTCTTGATGCATAAACACGTCTGAGACACAATCATTTACTTCTAAAATACTTAAGTAAAACAAACGTCCTAATGAGCACGTCATTAATTAGTAGCACAAGCTGAGCATACGTAATTACACAAGTTTGAGTTGTGATCCGTAGGCCCACGGTATATCGGTATCTTTATTGTCTCCATTATTTATACATTTGCAGCCAAATGCTGCATTGCACGAATTTACTACGAATACGGTATCACAAAGCAATTAATTAACATTTTCTAAAAATATAACAAAGTCATACAAACATGAAAAGCTCAAACAGTTAAGAGAAGCCATCAAAACTACACAATCTGTAGGCTGATATGTGGATATAAAATATTATTTGAATGTGCTGCGTATGTGAATTAATGCGTAAATAAATACAAAATAGTCTGAAATTTACGATATCTTTCCGTCATAAACTTTTATCAACTTATGGAAACTGATAAGGTCTGCAACCGAGATATCTCGTTGATTCTTGATAAAGCATAAAAGTCCTTGAATAAAGTCTACGACAAAGAAAGACACCATTTGTTATTTAAGATACAAACTGGATTCACTAGCTTCAAATACATAAATCCTGGAATAGATACCAATTTACCTTCTGCCTTCTTATTCCATTAATTTAATTAGTTTTGTCTCTTCAGACCGTGTTAAAATTGGTCAATCGGGAATTATAATTTTTTAAATATTGCCATATCAGAAGTCAATTGTTTTACACTTTTTTATGTTATAATTGTTATTAGTTACTGCAAAGACTTCATTTGCATTATACTTATTAATATAATTATTATACTATAAAATATTATTACAATGTTATGTATACAATATAACAATTATATCAATAAAAAAATAATATAACAATAATAATAATAATCAAGCATTAAAAATTAATTAAACTTTTACCATTTTTAAAACGTTTTAAAAGATTTTAAATCATTTTTAAACTTACAATGTTTACATTTTTATTCAATGTACATTTGTTTTGAATTGTTCTCCATTTCATGCAATTTTTACGACATCTGTTTTTATCTTTCTATCAACTTTATGAAGTTTCCGTGAGTTGTATATTGATTTTGAAAGGATAAACGGAATGAATGAATGAATGTTGTGTTGTTGTGTTATATATTATTTTCATATCATACATAAAAAAAATCCGTTATTTATTATAGGCCCATCATTATTGCACAATCACATATCAATATGGTATGATAGTATATAACATCATAAAGTAACATATGTGGCCTACTTCAATTAATACCTAGACCTCTGAACCCAAATAACTCATTGGCCATCAATAATGAATAATGAATGCGACAAATCTGTAATTTCACTGTAGATTGAAGCGTATCAATTTTGCATGAAAGCTTGGTTGGTTCAGACCTTTGATTTGTGAACTTTCTTGTCAGTGCACATCGTTCCTGAACTAATGGGTCCCATGTGATCATATCTGATACTTTACAACCATTCTTATATCATTCATATCATCTTGGCTATTGCTATCCCACTGTCTGCAATATATGACTTTCTGGCTGAATGTTAACTCTGTAGCCTATAATGCGTCAGTCTGCAGTGGCGGATCCAGGAATTCGAAATAGAAGAGATCCGGGGTGGGAATTTGCGGATGGAGGGTCACAGACTATCTCAGCCTACCCTTGGGACTGAGCTACGTCAAAATGTTTTGCTATACACTATACGGTACCTCTAGAATTGTGAATATGTTCTTAGAAAATCACAGATTTTCCTTGTTATACAAAAACGCTTCACTCCGAGAAGAAATGGTGCTCATCAACTTAAAACATTATAATAATACTTTAACGTCTGCAAGTCTGTTTCTTTTTAAGACTTGCTCTGATACACTTGCTCACTCCATCATGAAGACCACTGAACACATCATTATCTACTTTTTTTTCCAGCAATCCTATAAATCTGCTTCTGTTAAACCTTTTATTAAGAAGCACAATCTAAACATAGATGATCTTAAACACCATCGTCCTATCTCAAATTTGTCCTTTGTTTTTAAGTGTATTGAGAAATATGTTGCCTTATATATTGATAACTACATCAATGAAAATAATCTTTATGAAGTAAATCAATCTGCATACAAATTGGTCATAGCACCGAAACTGCCCTAAACAAGTGACTTATGATATTCTTTCCTTTGTTGATTCTCGTAAAGCGATTGCTATTGTCCTCTAGACCTCTTTTCTGCTTTCGACACCGACCACTCTATTCTCCTAAATCGTTTGTCGATCCATTGGTTTCTTGGGTACAGTTCTCAACTATTCTCATCTTATCTTAAATTTCGTCAACAGGATGTTAATCCTCTCGGTTCTGTTCGTTTTTCCTAAACTGTTACAATGTGGTGTTCCACAGGGGTCCGTTCTTGGTCCTTTACCCTTTTCATTCTATATTTCCCATTCGTTCTCATCATATTCACTTCCATATTTATGTTGACCATATCCAGCTTTATTTTCCACTTGATCCTGTCACTGATTCGCAAACAAGTATCGACAAAATGCAAATTTGTATATCTGAAATATAAAGCTGGCTCTCCCAAAACATGCTTAAATTTAACCCCTCCAAAACTGAATACATTATTGTCTTCATTTTCCCGATTCATACTTCGCAGGCCAAATTTTCCCATATTTAAACTACGCAACTTTGAAATTAAACCATCATCTTCAGTTAAAAATTTAGGTGTTATTATGGATGAGACCCTTTCTACCAATTTGTAAATCCGCTAACTATTATCTCCGCAACTTACGCAAGATTCGTAAATACCTCCACCCGAATTCAACAGAAACACTTGTTCATGCCTTTATTTCCTCGAAACTTGATTAATGTAATTCACTTTTATTTGGCCTCCCTTCTTATTCAATTAAACGTTTACAAAGAATTCAAAATTCTGCTGCTCTCGTATGCACCCTCACTCCCAACACATCACCCCCATCCTGAAAAACATGCACTGGCTCCTATTCGGCAACGTATTATTTTAAAAATCCTTTTATTGTGTGTAAAGCTCTTCGATCTTCATACCTATGTCCCCAACTGCCGTCTCCGCTCAGAAATAAGTCTTCTCACTATCACCACCTTCAAATTAAAATCATACAGCCAACGAATCTTTGCTTTTTCTGCCTCATTTCTGTGGAACTGTGGAACGGCTTACCGTTGTCTGTCACAAACTCACCCTCCTTGGATTCATTTAAACTGAATTTAAAAACTCATCTATTTCAATCCATCTAGTCTACTCTGTTTCCACTTTCATATCTACATTGTATTTTTACTTTTATATTCATTACTCTACTACTTTACTCAATCCATGCGCTATGTATACTTTCGTACCTTTGATAATATATTTTGAAATTGGCGTATAACAAATGTTTGTTGTTTATTACTATTAGATGGCCAAAATGGCACCCACAATTTGCTTTTTCCCCCATTTTGTTTTTTTTTTGTTTTTTTTTTTTGTTATTAGTTTTGGGGGAAAATAGGTTGAGGTAGTGGTGCAGGTAACAGAGATCATAGGCCTAAAAAAAACAAACATAGTTACAACTGAAATTGGTATCATCGTTTGTTAGACTTTACATTTCAAGGATTTAATCATGTGCATTTCAATTCTGTTTCAGGTTTGGCGGGTGAAATGGGAATAATAATTGGTTCGAAATTCTTTACGTTATCTGATGATAATCCTTGTGCTACACGGCTACCGCCAAATTTGCGATATAACGGAGAAGAAATTATTCACTTATGCAAAAAGAATGAAAGGAACAAAGTCATGGAATCAGTTCCACTTCGTAATACAAATGGTTAGTTGTACTATTTTATGGTTTCTTAATGTTACCGGTACCGTAATGTTATACGGCACCAGATGGCCGAAATGGCACCCACAAATAATTTAAATGCAATTTGCTTTTTCCCCATGGGATTTTTTTTTTTTTTTTTTTTTATTAGTATACCGTATATTTTTTGGTAGAGATGCGGGCCGCCCGCCGATCTGTAGCCAATCGTTATATAAATTATTAGGTTATTAAATTATGAAACAATTATTTGCAATCTTTGTGATGCAAACGAAATAGAAGGCGAATATAATTTTCTTTAATTTACAACGTGCTTATAACAATCGAAAGAGAGTCTATCCTTAATTACGGTAATTCATCTGTATTATTAGATTCTTGGTTACAGGTTCACTTATCTAAGTTGCTTTACGTTGCTTTGAATATCAGAAAAGAAAAGGTCGTATCGAATAATATATATAGGACCCCAATGAAAATAAAAAATAAAAAAATGAATAAAAAAATAAATAAATTTTAGGTAATTTTTAAACATTGTATTACAATGTTTTTTACACTTTATTCAATGTACATTTTGTTTTAAATTGTTCTTAATTTTATACAATTTTTACTACTCTGTTTTTACATTTTTATCAAGTTTATAAAATTTCCGTGATTTGTATGTTGATTTTGTCCGAATGAATGAATACTGTATATTGATCATGGTGTTGTTTTATCTTGTTAAACTATTTTCGTTGCAATATGCGCAGTTCGTCGTATTATTAAATCATTTACCTTCTTTTACAGATGAGATTATTTGGGGAACAACTTTTCTAGAAGTGATGGTGGGACAGAATGCACTTCTGAAGTGCTTTGTTCAAAATCTTGCAAATGGTTCTAAAGTAATGTGGTATCGTAAAGAAAAGGGTAAATGTTTAACTTACTTCTTCTCACACAATTATTCGGTGTAAAGAATGGCCGTGGAACAACTGCTGTAGAATTATGCTTCTTATGTTAGTACTCTGACATAAACAACTATGTCATATTTAAAATGCTTCTCTATCAACTATGCCTATTACTCACTTCAAATCCAAACATTCTTAGGCCTATATAACATTTCTCATTCTCTTCTCAATAATCATATATGCCAACTGTGCGTTTAATTCACTCCCATAAGCCTAAACTGCAGTCACGTTCTGTGACTTATTATTATTATTTTTTCCCCCAAGTTATTGGATGTTATATATTTATAGTTTACTACTCGATATTTTGCTCTGTTCCAGTGCGGGTATTGTACATTACTAACAAAAAATCTGACGTCAACGATCACACCCGAATCCTAGTTAACAAGGAAAACGGAACCTTCAACTTACAAATTGTCAACGTAACTCAAGACGATGCAGGCACATATTTATGCCAGATACAACCTAAATTTGAAAATGCTTTCAATAATATTCAACCACAACTTAAGGTTTTAGGTACGTGCGCTTTTTCGTATTCAATATAGGCCAAACTGGAACCTTCTTCCTGCAATCGCAATAGGCTACGTAGCACATTTGCTCCGACATTCAGAGCATTTTCAGTACGGTATAAATATGTTCCACAAAAGACAATGTGGATAATTAACAATTTGATAATAAATGATCCCAAATTTATGCAAAAAATGTTTTTTTTACGGGAAAAATAAATTGCCCATCAACTATAACAATTATCTGATCGTTAACAGATGGTAGTATAATAATTAGAATTGTTTATTTCACCGGCAATAACTTGAATTTGCCTTTTCATAGGGTTGGGGTTGAGTTAGACTCAAACATTAATAGGGCCTATCATCACGAAAGTGTTGTTTAAACGAATAGACGTCCTCTGGATACAATATTCACCACAGTATGCTTAGATGTTACTTGCACAAAATCATAAAAATTATCACCTAATAATAATTAGGACCATGGTAATTGATCACCTGAAGAATCTATAGTAAGCTACGTCGCCACCACCCCTCCTCGATCTGCTCCTTTTAGGGGCGTTGAGGCGTACTCATCCAGATTCAACTGCTCACCATTCTGTAAAATTAAGCGTACTTTGCAAAAACAATATCAATTAAAATGCTTTTGTTTTTTTCCCAGTTCCATCAGATATTGTAAGAATTGAACCAAACGTTACACTTAACACGAATCCACAGAAAAGGTATTTCAACTTAAGTGAGAATGCTTTCCTTAATTGCATTACGGATGGTATACCAAAACCCAACATTACCTGGACTAGAAGTGATAAGTTGCTGAACAAAACAATTATTAATGGAAAACTACTTTTACCTAACATCCAAACGGAGGACAGTGGTATTTATATTTGTGATGCTATGAATATGGTGAACGGACACATTCACACAGACAGGAAACATGTACAGGTTATAATTAAATATTAGTAAACAAATTAAATTGATTAGCAAAGAGTTATGACGAAGTTTATTTTTATGTTAGCAGACTCACTTTGTTGCATTCAGAGGAATAATCTGATGTGTCATGAGTAAACTGCGCCCATGGTAGGCTTCTTGTAGCCCAGTCCAGCTGAGTAGGCCTACTTTTTTCCAGCACTCCAGAGAATATAGATAGGCCTTACACATGAATACGTGAGCTCGAAATATCAAAATATTAAAATGTGCACCTCCACTAATCTGAAGGTGGCATAACTGTACTACAAACATTTTAAATTGGATAATTATGCATATATTTGTATTTGTTTACACACACACACACACATATAGATGTGTATAAGAGACAGGTATTAATAACTCAAAATTGATTTTAGGGACGAGTGACTGGTTTGGCTTGTCTTTGCCACAAATATTGTATAAAAACTGGTTTAAATATCATTTATTTATTCGAGTGCAATGTTAATGACCAAATATTCTTTTTTTAAATATTGAGCTTTCTAATGGATGCACAAGGTAGAATACTATTAATACATGTTACCAACTTAAAAATCAGGGTGCAGGCTGTCTGGGTAGATTAGAATCATATATCAAAATACACAAAACAAGAAATCTCCCTGGATAATGGTCAAAATTGACAAGATTTTATTTATACAAAGTAACACATGCACTAGGCATCCAATGCTCATTATAAGGATGGAACAAAATAAGTCTGGTTTGATGTTAAGTTTATTGCTCAAAAGGTGTCAAAATATAAATTTGAATGATTTTTTTTTTCTTATTTTGTGACTACTGTACTGTAGTTGTTTTGATACATTAAAAAAAATGTCCCCTTAATAGGGGTGAAATTGTATTGATTTGACCATTTTACACACTCAAAAAATGTCCCCGTCCCCTTAATATGGGTTGCCTGCAGTGTTAAAAAATATATTGCCACTCATTTGACAGAAGAGTAGCCCCTTAATAGGAGCGTCCCATGAATAGGGGTGCACCAAAAGGTGGGGTTCTACTGTATAATGAAATTTCGGGCAAAATTTGCATTGTTCAGAGTAATTAAGTGATGGAAACTCCAGAAGAGTTGAAAAAATGTTGGTCATTTCTTTCAAACCTACAGTGTAGTGGGTTACTTCACAGAAACCATAACTTGCAAATCCAGAAGAAAGATTGTTTTATTTTTGTTTTGTGAAAAATTTCAAATGAACCAATTTTGTTGAGTGAAAATTAAATTAATATAAATATACATACAAGTCTCCTTTCAATTACAGACCACCTCCAAATAAAAACCAATTTTCTGTGGTCCCTAATTAACATATATTTTGCTAAAGCCAAAGAAACCCTGGTCCAAAAAGTGGTCTTTAATTGGAGGGAGACCTGTACAGTATAACAGATATATAACTAATATTATTCTGATCTACAAAAGATCTCCAAAAATACTTATCTAATTAATCTGAGGGCACATAGAAAAAATTGTTAGATTATCACTCCCGTCCGCGTAAAAAATTTGGGAAATATTGATGCGGAAATAAAAAATCATTTATCATTTTTATTATCATTTACCGGTATTTCAACAGCATAACAAAATCCTGAAAATAAATTTTCTTTAAAAAACAACAAAATTTAAACCAGTTTTTATACAATATTTGTGGCAAAGACAAGCCAAACCAGTCACTCGTCCCTAAAATCAATTTTGAGTTATTAATACAGTACTAAAGAGTACAATAAGAGCTATGAAATGGTAAAAAAAAATTATTGAAATCCTCCATTTCCTTATAAAGTTACAAGCATTTAAACATAGAGATGTTTAAAGAACAATATATGAGAAATCAGCCTTCAAAGTTTATGATTTCGGGCATTTCTCATACAGAAACTGTCATTAAATCCTTAAAAAGTGTTGTTTTAACATTGAAAATGGGGAAAATAACAGCATACAATGATGTATAGATATATAAAGGTTAGTTTAGTTTTGACATTCCAACACGATTTGCGACGAGTGACTGGTTTGGCTTGTTTTTGCCACATTTACAATATTCTTGCCAAATATAAACAGTCCCTCCCTTATAAAGAAAAAAAAAAGCAATATTCCATTGTTTTGATTACAAAAAAAAAAACGCCCGCCCTCATCACCTACTTAAAAAAAAGGGTGATAAACCTAATAATTTTTTCTATGTGCCCTAACCTAAACAAAGGCTACCCACTTGAAATATAGTTCAATATATAAAAAAATAAACAAATAATGAAATTTGTCTATATTTTTGCATGTTCAAAATGATTTTCAGCCTACAGTTGGCTAACATACGGTAAGCATGCTGTGCATAAATTGTGAGACAACAGCTTCGAAAAACATGCTAGTTCCCTTATGAATTATAGATTAAAATCTGCCACAATAAACCTATGTTCCAACTATAAAAGCAAATAAACACTTAATATTGATAATTAATGTACATTTTCAGCAGCAAAATTGCAACATAAAAATTTATATTAACAATCTGGCTCAATATTGACCTTTTTTAACAATAATTTTCAGGGTAAAGCACATAAAACGAAAAATACTGTACTGATTATTCAGCCAGCAATTTATTAAATAACAGCAGTGTCCTAATATCAAAATTAAAATGATTTACTGGTAGACGAATAGCAAGAATTAATAACTTTTGAAGAACCCACAATATTGCAGGATTCCCTAACAACATTTAAGGAACATCATTCTAGGAACTGTTAACAACTTTTAGAAGATCCCATACAAATATTCCAGAAACCCTTAAAAACATTTCAAGATCCCTTATCAACATTCTAGAATCTCAACAATAAACATCATTCACAAACATATTCACTATGTTCTGTTCCATTTAGTCCTTTATAACAGATGGTGCTATCATAAATTTGTGAGAATAATATCTGCATTCAGGTGGTGGTTGCATCGGTACCAGTTCAGTGGATATGTTGTCCTTTTTAAAGCCAGCCTCAAGCAAGTGAGGCACCTGCGTTTCCTGTAATAAAACAATACAAGCATGAAGACTGAAATCATTTTAATCTCATAAACTCACTTCCTAATGAAAGAATGAAATTGAATTTGAATTATGTTTTGCCCAACTTGGCGTGTAATCATGCTGTATTTATTTTCTCTCTAAGATAGTCAGAATCAACTCATACCACTTTCCTTTACAAAATCTAAAATCAGACTAAAGAATAAACATTGTTAAAATCAAGGACTACAAATGTTATTTTTTCAGATATAGCAAGGCTGTTGATGTGCCTGGTGAATAAATATTGAGAGGTAGATAATTCCAGAGAGTGGGATTTTAATAACAGCGTGCAGACTCATGGTCACATTTAAGAGGGCCTGATAACAGCTCTAATCAATGCAGGCTTAAAATTAAACAAGATATCAACCAACCTGTGATAGCCACTTTCAATTCCAAATCTAATATTTAAACAGGAAATTTAATATCCTTTACAAAAAGTTTTGAATCATGAAGGGCAAAAATTGTTCTTACCTCAAACATTTTCTGGTCGTCAGTGTATTTCGTTTTTAGTAGCTCACCCCAAGAAGTTAGATTACAGTATGTAAGAATTCCCCCAGGTTTCAGTAGTCGATATGCATGCTGTTTGATAAACTGAAACTGGTGTGTGTGCCAAGTGTTCTCCGATAAAGGGTACGTATCGTACAATATTCCTGAAATGTAAACACTCTTCAAAGATCAAGTATGTGTATGACTGAGGCATATCACCAAACAGAAATATACATCAAAAGTAGACATAGAAGTAAAAAGATATATAAATTATACACTGAGGTCATCACATTTTCTTGTTTAATTAATTATGAATAAGATAAATGAATACTGAGTGCACTGTACCATCAAATGTCCCATCTTCCAAGGTTGGTGCAACATCTTCCCACAGACCTTTTAGAGGTGTAATCTTGTTTGGTTGGTTCTTAGCCCAGTCTTGTAAGTTTTTGAACACGCCCTCATTACATTCAATGATCACATGTTCAGCTATGGAGTAACTTTCAATCCTTGTTGCGGCTATAGCGAGACCAAAGCCTATTTCAAGTACTCTACCACCTGCAGGCAGAGAATTAAACAGAATAACAAAGGTGGAAAATTAGGTTATTTGCTTGCAAACTTTACAAGGATTAGCTTGCACAATTTGCAAATTGTGCAAACGCTTCAATTTGTGCACAACAGCAAAAGCTTAGCCTCAACTATCTAGGCATAGGGCCAGGTTAGAAAGGACGGGGGTGGGGGCCCTACTTTTTAACCTGACAATTGTAAGCAAATACAAATGACATTGTTGTGATGAATAATCATAAGGGCATGTAGAAAAAATTGTTAGATTATCATCCAGCCCGCATCAAAAATTTGGGAAATATTGATGCGGGAATAAAAACAAAAACAATTTTTGCCTCATCAATTATTTCGAACAGCTTTAAAAAAACAAAGGCTGTGGATATATTTACGTCACTGTATACAGCTTATGAAATGATAAGTTTACTTCAATCGAATTGCGCATGTCCATAACCGACGACACACTGCAAAAATTTGTATCATCCTCATAACGCACTTCGGCCCTCACAATTTTTGGATCACCGACATCACGATGGGACCCGGAAGCCATTTTGATGATAATTCTAGGCTCCATTTTCATCGGAAATCGGCAAGCCAAGACCCCCAAAATCTAGCCTAGAATATAAATTCCCTGATAGGCCTAGTGCAGGAACAAACAGAGTTGTTTGTATACGAATCGGCAGAAACCTGTGGAATGCCCACAGTGCCTTCTGCGGTGACTTTTCGTTCAAATCAAATTGCATTTGGCTGCAACTTTATGTCATTTGGCGGCGGCTTTTCGTTCCTGGGAAATAGCATTTAGCTGCAACTTTATTATTACAAAATAACACACTTTTTTTTTTACAAGAACGCTACGGCTGAAATCTCTTAAAAATTAAAAACAAAATAAGAACAAATTGAGACTGAGGTAAAATGTCAAATGACGGTTTTATTTTTTTTTTACATAGAAAACCAACAAATCTATCTGTACCTTATTTGCAGTAGGTGTTACTATGTAATACCCTCTATAATACAGTAAAGTAATATACTGACTGTAAAATTATAATTTTTTATGTTTGAAAAGTGTACAAAAATAAGAACAAAATAAGAAAATTTTTAGCCTGAAATCGGCCCAAAAATAAAAACACTGAACCTGGGCAAAAGTTTGCTGGTTCTTATAACAAAAGTGTAAGCAAGCACAATGAATGATCATGTGTTGTGTTGTTGGAAAGCATAAGCTAATAATAATTAAAAGGCTAAACATAAGGGCACGATAAATTACTGTGGGAACAGGCAGCGGCGATTAAAATTAAAAACTAAGCATTACATTAAACAGATTAATTGTAGGTCTATAAATAATAAAAATAAATATATAAAATAAAAATATAGTAAATGGGACATAGGCAAATACAAGGCAAAAATAATAGTTTTAATAACAGTATTTAAGGCAGGAAGCTGCTGAAAATTTAAATGTTTTAATATTTCGTGTTCAAGTCAATAACGTCTACATAATGTGTTGAGCCCACAACTATATTATTAGTATTTAATTTACATGGTCATTCTTATTTAATGACTGGAAATTAATTAGAATACTGTAGGCCTATTTACATACAGTACTTTATCAATACGTGGACCTACAAAACCCATGACATGTAAAATAAAATGCTTTTTTAAAGGATTGTTATGGAATTTTCATGTATGAGGTTACATTTCAAACACTCCAAGAGTACTGGATGAGCCAAGGACACTGGACTTACAGCCTTTTAAACGTCACAGAATCATTGCTTTAGACCACAAATCCACTTATATCAGTGTTACAAGTAACATCAAAATATACTAATTATTATCATTATTCTTCAAATGTAGTAGAAAAGCACAAACACAAACAGAAGCAAAGATTAACAAAAAATATACAGCTAGGCGTTGGAAATTACCCGTTTTATCCTGTTGGATGGTCGTCAATTGATACAGGCCTATAGTCGCCGAATGAAGTAAGCTTAGGCCGCCGAATGCTAAAGTTGCCGAATGATGCATCTCCAAATGCTAGGGTCACCGCCGAATGAAAAAGTCGCTGTTGAATGCCAAATTTGCTAAATACAATGGGTCGCCGAATGGTAAATGCGCAGCCAAATGCTATTGCCAGGGGCGGATCCAGAGATGTCCAAAAAGAGGGATTAAAGGGTGCCGAAAGTTGGGGCGCTCGAGACAACACTGACCTAGGGCGTCTGGGGACATGCCACTTGAAATTTTTTGTGTTCTAGACGCTCGAAAATAACATTTAAGGCATTCTGAGTTATCATTTTTTTCTTTCTTTTTTACTTTTTTTACCTCCCAAAAGGGGGCTTGGCCGGCCCCCCAAATCCGCACCCCCCGCCTAAATCCGCCCCTGACAGCCAACGCTGAAGGCAGTGTGGGGCGTTCCATAATGGCAGACACCACCTAGGCAGTAGACTTCAGCGGTTGTGTAACCAACAAAAATAAGATACAGTTTCAAGGTCGGGGATTCAATCCCTCGCTGTACAGTACATTTTCCTTGTGTCCTTGAGCAAGGCATTTTATCTGAATTGCTTCTTTCCACCCAGGTGTATGAATGGGTACATGGTGGGGTTGTCTACTCCTGTGAGCAGCAACACTAAAGCATGTGGACCCGGATAAAGAAGCACTTTGTATCTAGAAAGAAAAGGTGCTGCATAAATGATATAAATATAAAATAATCATAAAAAAATATTACCAATATTATTTCACGATGCAATGTTAACGACCAAATATTCCTTTTTTTCGATATTAAGCTTTCTATTGGATGAATGTAGCATGAATAGAGTAACACCTTAGAATTAAGGGTGTATGTTATTAGTATGGATTAGGATCCTATATGAAAATAAAGGAAACAAAATCACCATGGTTAAGGGTCAAAATTGACAAGATTGGTTTTTATGAAGTAAGCAGTAGGCCTACCCTGACGTATAGGATTCAGGGGAGAAGATTCTGGTGTATTTTCAAAAAATATTAAAATATAAAGTTGAATGAATTTTTTTACTCTGACACTGCATTGTTGTGAAACAACGATAAAAAAATTAAATGTCCCCTTAAAACACAGGGGTTATTTGATAACTTGGCACCCACAGAAAGTGGCCCCTGCCCTTGGCACCCACAGAAAAACAATATTCTATTGTTCCAATGAAAAACAAAAACAAAAACAAAAAAAAACGCCCATTTTATCTTTTTTTTTTTAAGAGATAGGCCTAGGCCTAGGAGGGGCCAGCCTAGGCTAGCCTAGGCCTAGGCCTATTATTGTGCCCTAAACATTTTTTTAAAGAACACATTCCGCTTAGAATACCCACCTTTAGAACTGGCAATGTCGGCTAATTTGTGCATAAAATCTGTCTCCCATCGCTCCATTACAGGCTTACCCATGATTTCGAGGTGAGTGTTCCCACTTCCGCTGAAGCATGCCATAGCTTCTGACCATGCGGGTTTACAGTTTTCTCCGTCGGCGAAGATCGCCTTATTTGCTTTAACTGCTGCACTCATTTTAAATTCTAGGCCTAGCAAACAATCAATGACCGATATCACCTCCCTGGCGATATTACAAATTCATCCGATATTGGCTATAGATAGGTGACTTATGGCCGAAGCACTTATTCCAAATAATATGATTAGTAGTAGGTTTGTACACCAGTAGCTGTCTGTAGACCAGTAGCTGTTTGTAGAAAAGCTAAATAACTGCCACACTTTGAAGACCTTCTTCACTTTAAACGAATCAACGATAAGCTGAATATCGTATAGCGCGCCGCACCGCTCTACAGCGCCGCCTAGCGGCGCTACGACATCGCGACGGCTAAGGAACTCTAGCGACGGCGGCGGGGCGGGGTACGACGACACGGTGAGTTGCCCAACAACAAAGAGGGCGGACTTCTTCTGTCTTTTTCATGACATGGGAGGTATATTTGGTATACCAAAACGGACTTCGGTCATGTTCCATATTTATATTCATAGATTCTTCTCATATAAAATATATGAATTCCCATTGAATGAAAAAAAATCACCATCAAAACACTAATTTCAATATGAATTGAAAATGAACAATCCTGTCTAGGAATTACGCCCACAAAAAAAAGAAAAAAAAATGGTTTGTGTGGGAATCGAACACACAACTTCCAGGTTTGCTATTCATTATCCACCATCAACTAAACTGCCTTAAAAAATAATGGTTTGTGTGGGAATTGAACACATAACCACCAGGTTTGCTATTCAAAGGTTCGTATGGGAATCGAACACACAACCTCCAGGCTTGCTATCATTATCCACCACCAACTAAACTGCCTTAAAATGTTTTTGGTTTTTTTTTTAACTGGCTCGTGTGGGAATCGAACCCACGACCTTAAAAAAAAATTAAAATAAAAATAAATAAAAAAATTTAATAAAAAAACTTGCCCCGTGTGGGAATCGAACCCACGATCGCCGAGTTTACTACTTCTGATCCAGCATGACTAAACGGAGGGAGGTAAACCGCGGCCCCTAAACCATACATGCGATAAACCTAGTACCACACCAAGTACCAGTTAGTCAACTCTAATCTTACTAGAAAAAATTCTTCGTATATATATACTGCAGGTTAATATTACGCATGGTCATGGTGTCAAAAAAAATGGGTCGTGTGCCAAGAGGGTTTATTTTTTGTCTAAAAATGTATAATTAAATTTATAATCGATTTATGATTGTTACCATCTCCATAACTTACACACTTTTTTTTAAATAGACAAAAATGTTGGAAAAATTCATTATGCAAATTAGAAAAAAATAGACCAATCATGTTACGGGATTGAATGTATTGTACTCGTTGATGACGTCGCGAACAACAAACATCAACCTTTCATGTCCCAGTCTGGGAACCAGTCAATTCGAGCGGATGCCACTTCGAGCGAAGGCCAATTCGAGCGAATTCGAGCGGATTTTTTTTCGAGCGGATGCTAGTTCGAGCGGAAGAAGATCTACTTGTGCGAACAACAACCTGTGCGGGTTATATACGAATTACTTTAAAATTTCTATTTTTGAGCTAACAATTTGCTCAAGCTTTGCCTGGGAAGCAGGGGAAAGCCCCAGTCGGTTCCGGGGAAGACGCCTATAGCCTTATGTATAGCAAGTCGTATTTAATGGATTTTTAGCTTAACAAATAATAAAGTTCTATTTGTTCTGAATTATTATGGTAAGTGAATCCTATTGGGAATAGGAATTTCCTTTATAGCCAGTGCCATCTCTATCTTAGAGTAAATAAATAAATAAACAAACAAACATACCCACATTCATAAAAATAATGATATATCTTAAATTATACTAACTTAGTCAGCGTTATCCTTTCCACAAGTTAACAAAAACAGCGTGTTTTGAACTTTAAAAGAAAATTGGTAAAATGTCATTATTACTCACTGTTGATACTTGTCACAGGGGCAGATCCAAAATTTTTCAAAGGTGAAGGGGGCACACAACAGTTCCAGAATAGATAAATGAGTAGCACATAACATTAATATGCATTGACATTTTTTAAATAGTGGCAAAACCGCCCCTGTCTCACACTACTACACCATTCATTTGTGCACCTTCTGACACACCACATACGTAAAAATAATTTAAATTCCTATGGTGATTAACAATTGCTCCCATTTACAAAAATAGGCCTAAATCGTAAATCTACAAATACAATTACAAAATTATATAATTCAATTACAAATATAGTTTGCTTTTTTCAAATACAAAACGCCAATCAGTGGCGGATCTGGTGGGGGGGGGGAGTGGGGGTGGTGCTGAATAGGGTGGCTAGCCACCCCCCTTTGTTTACCGTGAAAAAAAAATATTTGTCATTCGTCTTGTGTGTGTGCTTCTCGTACACTCTAGTAAAGCATGCACTTTTTTTTTTAAGCATTTCAATTTTTTGCTTGATGTTTTCTCAGGGTATTGCCGATTTAATCACCAAATTGGGGGACTTTGTCTTCGCTTCGCATCGTTAAAAGCCATAATTAACTATTAGCACATTACAGTGGCGGATCTGGGGTGGGGGGTTCAGGGGGTTCGGACGAATCCCACTCTGTGAAGAAACGTAACAAAATACTATGGGTCCTGGCTTACAAAATTCATGCTAACTAGACGCGGATCCAGACCTTCGCCCACTGCACCCAGGCGAAGGTCAGGGTGAGAATTCAAAATAAAATGTTCATACTTACTTTCCTTGACACTTATTTTGAGCATTACCATTAGGAAAATGTTTAAATCCACACTATCCTATACATTACACTTTTAAACTGATTGTACTGTAGGCCCTACCAGAGAGAGAGAGAGAGAGAGAGGTATATTTCCAATACATTGTGGTTTTCCACTTCTATATCGCACGATACAGTGAATAGCAAACGTTATGTAACCACTAATAATACTTAGGTCCAGTGGCGTAGGTATGGACAGTGCAGTCAGTGCACAGTACTGGGGCCCGGGGCTATTGGGGGCTCGTTCAATAGGTCTAATGATCTAAAAATATAACTTTAAAAAATTCCTATTTAAACTTTAAAAGGATCCTTCAGTAATAATAGGTTTTAGATGCTATATATTATTGATTATATTCATTACAATTTACCTATTACCTATTTCCCAAACGCTGCAAGTAAAAAAAACAACAACAAAACAAGCCCTTCGTATACGATGCACTAGTTTTTTGAAATCACATTTCTAAAGCAATAAAATATCGACAAGCACATTTGTGTTTGTGGTATTAAAGTTGGTTGAACTATTATTGTCTACGTTTTTAAACACTTTAGATCATCATAACATCATGAATACATTTTAGATTGAATTCACTGCAAGTAGGTCGATGACTGTTCTATTGTTGAATGGTAAATGTTATTTTCGTGACGATAGAGACAATACCTGGATTTGCGTCAGGAGAATCAATTAGGGGGCTTATATGTATTTTGCCCAAACTGTCGTAAAAATATATTGAGTACTCAGTGCGTGATTCAATATACATTTTTAAATCACATTTCTAAAGCAATAAAATATCGTTACGCACATTTGTATTTGTGGTATCACTGTGTCTCACTATAGCCAATTTGGCAACCACTGGACACAATGAAAAAGAATAGGATTATCTTGGAAAATATTAAACAAGATATTTATAGTTTATCACTGTGTCCCACTATAGCCAATGTAGGGCACTGAAAACAATTGTTGGATCATAACCCCCTCCCCACCCCCGCGTGAAAAATTCGGGAAATATCGATGCAGGATAAAAAAAAATACTTTGCCGCATCAATTATTTGAACAGCATAACACAATGCAAATCTCTGACTTCAGATACATTTCTTTAAAAAACTATAAAATTTAATCCAGTTTTTATACAATTATTATTATTACTAGCCAAATATAAACAGTCCCTCCCTCTTCAATTAAAACAAAAGCGAAATAATCAATTGTTCGGATTTTTAAAAAATATATTTAAAAAAAAGTCCTCCCTCACCGTTTATTTTTTTTTTTAAAGAGTGATAATCTAATAATTTTGTCTATTTGCTCTTAGCAATCACTGAACACAATGAAAAAGAAAATGATTAACTTAGAAAATATTAAAAGGACAGTTGTACTTTATCACTGTGTCCCACTATAGCCAATTTGGCAACCATTGGACACAATAAGAAACAATAGGATTATCTTGGAAAATATTAAAAGATATTTATAGTTTATCACTCTGTCCCACTAAAGCCAATTTAGGGCACTGAATAAATTGTTAGATCAGCACTCCCCCGCCCCCCTCCCCCGGGAAAATTCTTGAAATATTGATGTGGGAATAAAAACAAAACTTTTTTTTGCCGTATCAATTATTTTAACAGCATAACATAATGCTATTTTATGACTTCAGATGCATTTCTTTAAAAAACTATAAAATTAAACCAGTTTTTATACAATATTTACTAGGCCTGTTACTAGCCAAATATAGATAGTCCCCTCCCTCATCAATAAAAAACCAAAGCGCAATAACGAATTGTTTTGATTTAAAAACAACAAACAAACAAAAACCGCCCTCCCTCATCGTTTTTTTTTAAAGAGTGATAATCTAATAATTTTTTCTATGTGCTCTTAGCAGCCATTGAACACAATGAAAAAGAAAAGGATTAACTTAGAAAATATTAAAGAAGACAGTTGTACTTCATCACTGTGTCCACTATAGCCAATTTGGCAACCATTGGACACAATGAAGAAGAATAGGATTTTTTTTTTAAATATTAAATAAGATATTTATGTCCCACTACAGCCAATTTAGGACACATAGGAAAAATTATTAGATTACTATTTTTTTTAAATCAGAACAACTGCTTCTTTTAAGGGAGGGACTTTTTTATTTGGCAAGAATATTGTAAATATACAGGTTTAATTTTTATTGTTTTTTTTTTTGTTTTTTTTAAAGAAAACGGATTTCCGATCACAAAATTAAATTGTTTTTTATGCTGTTGAAAAAATGATGTGGCCAAGAAAAAGAAACATTTTTTTAAATGTCCGCATCAATATTTCCCAATTTTGTTGACGCGGGCTGGAGTGATGATCTAATAATTTTTTTTTGTATAGGCATAATTATGATCCGTTCATTGTGCGTTCGATTTTGATAATGATAGGAGTGATAGGAGCACTGTATGATCATGGAGGTATTATTGAGAAGGAGATCACTCGGCAACAGTTCCCTTTGACGCGACAAACCCACGTGTTCCTCGCTTTTGCATCGCGCGCGGGCGTATTACCCTATAATTCATTTTTTTTTTTTTTTTTGTTAGCAACA